CCCCAAAACCCCAAAACCCCACTGTGTAAAATTATACCAAGAATTTGATATTTATATACAACATAAATATTGTTAAATATTCTTTGTTGAGAGTAGCATAGAGGAACGTATTTTCTAAGTAAAGCCCCACTTTCGTAAATTTCTCTCAATTTCCTCTGCAAAAATAGAACATGGAACAGCAACCAACTTTTACTTTAGTGTCATCGAGGATTATTGTTCCAGCCTCACGGTGGCCTTTGCCATTCTTTGCTCTCTAATGAAAGTGAACCTGCTTAGCAGAATTTAATAGGTCTTTAACTTGTTAAGAAGCACAATGGTTGTTGCTTAGCTCATAGGCAGTCATTCCATTTGTCTTTGATTTTAGAGTTTTATCAGCTCCGTTTTCTATTAAAAATCTGATTACCTCTAGGTTCATCTCTAGTTAAACTTGTTCTAGTATCATAGACATACCACAGAAGCTCATTAAAAGTGTCTTTCCATGATGGTAATAGTTTATATCTGCTCCGAAATGCAGAAGTATCTCAGCAATTTTTAGACAGATATTTTTGTTTTCATAGACATTGGAAGTTTCAGTCATTCGAGAAAAACAATATAGAAGAGGAGTGTAACCCATTGAATTCATATGATTGGTGTCAGCTCCGTTTTCGGATAAGATCTTCACGATTTCAAAATTGCCTGCTATGCAACTAGCACTTAGAGGAGTGTATTCATGATCCTCAGTGGTCATATTAATGTCAATTAGTGGATTTTCTAGCAGAAGTTCAGTTATTCTGCCTCTCCCCAAAAAAGATGCTTAAGCCAATGGTGTAATTTTATCATCAAGGTCAGTCTTCGAGTGCTTTTCAAGCCAATTTAGGTTCTTACTAACAATTTTCATATCCTTCAATCCTTTATAGTCGTTTGCAAAAATCAAATTGAGAATCTAAATTAATTTTGTTAGTTTGACCATCTCATAAATTTCTGTTAAATATCATAGTAGACAATGTGTTAATGGGCTAAGGAGTTTTGAAATCCAGAAAACTCTTTGCCAATATGCTGTGTAGTTTTTATGATATTAAAGTGAAAAGTGCTATTCTTACTTACCTTTTTCCTTTCAACAGCGTCTTCGTCAGTAGCCATGTCATTAGGATCGATGTGATTTCTATTTGAATTGACTAACTCACTATAAGCTTCTTATTTTTCCATGTTATTTTAATATGCTATTTAAATTCATTATCGTGTTTGCAATATTTATTTCCAATATTCTCTCGCGGGGTTTTGGGGTTTTGGGGTTTTGGGG